GCTCTCTTTTGTTGAGCTTGGAGGAGTGTGGCAAGCTCCTTTGTACGAGATAACACTGAATTTGAATCTGCATTGCTATAGTGAAGGTTTTGTTTCTCCGCTAGTTTCACTTGCTAAACTCCTTTTCGAAACCGTGAATTTGATAGTGTGATTGATCTTTTGTGGTTTTATTAGGTTTCTCAACTGAGAATTGCAATGAACAGAGAGTCTTTCAAATGTTCAATAACCTAGTAGTGAACGAGACAGAAGAAGAAGTTGAAGCTGAGTTCTCCAACCGGAGATATATAATACCCAGAAAGAGTTGCTTCTACATGGTGAGTCTTGTCCCTTATGATTCTATATAAAGATGGAATTTTTAGTTGACCAGGTTGATGTGTGATATGGGTCTTCTGATTTTACCCGTTTCGCGTTTCTTTTTCCCATGTTGCCTTGAAGTCTGATTTACAGCACATCCGAAACCTCGTTCCTGGTAACTACTGTGCTACAAGTCTATATAGATTTTTTTGCTAAAACCTGAGCTTTAGAGTATTCTGGCTTCGGCTAATTGTTACCGAGTTATTTGTCAAAAGATCAGTCATGATCATTTGGTTCTTTGCGGTAGTTGAATCAGCCTAGCAATGTATTGATCTTTTTGATGTCATATTTGCAGCTAGACCTGAAGATGGCTTCAATCTTATAGTTATTGATCCGCCCTGGGAAAATGCAAGCGCTCATCAGAAGTCAAAGTTCGTTCCTGCATCTGTTAATATGTTAATATCACTTGAAGTGTGCGTGTGGCTTAGCTATGTTTTGTATCTGAAAATTTGTGTGCCATGTTTGTTGGTTCTTTTTTTAGGTATCCTACTTTACCTAACCGATACTTCTTATCCCTCCCGATCAAGCAGCTTGCTCATGCTGAAGGAGCTCTCGTGGCTTTATGGGTGACCAATAGAGAGAAATTACTCAACTTTGTTGAGAAAGAGCTATTCCCTGCATGGGGAATCAAGTATGCTGCTACAATATATTGGTTAAAGGTGAGCCCGTCTTGGTTTCTGAGTTTGCGTACATGACTTGGAATTTCACATGCTGGCTATGCTAATGTTTCAGGTGAAACCAGATGGTACACTGATTTGCGATCTGGACCTGGTTCATCATAAACCTTATGAATACCTTCTACTAGGCTACTGCTTTACCGAAGTAAAGTCAATTCTCGTCTTTGTTAGTTGAATAATCTGCGAAAGGAACTTCTGTTTGAACAGCCATCTGTATATGTATTTCAATAGCTTGCAGGATCAGAACATAGTTCGGATTTTAAACTCTTAGATAAGAACAAGATAATCATAAGCATTCCTGGAGATTTTTCGAGGAAACCGCCAGTTGGAGGTATTCTTATCTTTATTCTTCAACAGCTTTGTTCCATGGTTGGCTTCATCAAATTCAAGAGCATAATACAATTTGCTCAAATTCTTTTTGTATAGATATACTAAAGAAGCATGTTCCCGGGTCTCAGCCTGCTCGGTGCCTTGAGCTGTTTGCTAGGGAAATGGCTGCTGGATGGACCTCTTGGGGAAACGAACCGCTTCACTTCCAAGACTCGAGATACTTCTTGAAAGACTAGTGGACGCATCAAGAGGTTGTAGTAGTCAGGAGAATACTGGCTTGTGCCGAACTCCATGAATGTGTTTCTATGACTCATTCTCATACTCTGGGCAGTGAGGAGAAGTAGACCTTTGGATAGATTTAGAAGGTTTAGTTTAGTTTAGTGAGGGATAACAGCCTATTCTTCCATGAACTGTATTGTTGCTGATTATTTATACATGAAGTATTGACCCCGGCCTAAACACACATGATCTCTTTTTGTTTTTGAATTTACTACATAATCTTATAAAACTTGGTCAATTCACACAAAACCGTTAATGGAGTCAATTTTCCGTTCACGGGGTTAACTCTCCATTAACGGAGTGTGACGTGGCTAACCATTCTGATCTGATAAATTATTTTTTTTTTTTTAAATGCTCAGTACGTTTTATGAATCGGGGGGAAAAATTTTTTTAATAAAAATTAGGGTTTTTATTGTATTTTATCGGGTTTGTTTTGGAGAGAAACAAATTTAAGAAGGTTGAGAGATAAAAAGAGCGATCGATAGAAAGAAATTAGTTGTTTGTGGGTTTCGAATAATTCGTGTAGAGATCAAGAGGAAGCGATTAGGGGGAAATTGAAGAAAAAGTTTCATTTTTTTCCTATTTTTGTTGTTGAATTGTTGATTTGAAAATCTGATCTGAAAATGGCTACAACGATCATTGAGATTCCCACTGATCATTTCGATTCCGTTGTTGATGACGTCATCTCCGGTGGTGGTGACGGAATTGAGAAGAGCGATTCTAAACCGAAAATCGAATCGGAGCTGAAAACCAAATCCGACGAACTGGAGATTGATCAAATGAAGAAACTTGTGGATACGTTTAAGAAACTCATCCTGAAGCTAAAGAGTTTTTTCTTTCTTACAAGAAGAATAACAATCAATCTCTCGACGATTTCATGGTCGTTAAGAAACCATCTGGTGAAGAAGATGACAACAAGAAAGATGTCATTAACCGGATGGTAACAATTTCTTCATGTTTCTCTGATTAAAGTTTGGATTTTTAGTTATGGGTTGATGTTTGTTGCTGGAAAGTCTCTAGCTTTAAGTTTCATTTGATGATTCAAATAGAAAGTTTTGGTTTTGATTTGGTTGTACAATTCATCAATTGGTGTCTTTACATTGTCTTTGATGATGTTGTTTGCTAAAATTTTGGATTTTTTTTTGTTTGGTTTTGTGTGGATTGCAGAGAAGAAGCAATTATAACCAAGAGAGGAGAGTGAAGTTACCTGGAAGAGCTTCAAAGACTCAAAGAGAATATAGTATTAGAAGAACAGTTTATGTCTAGTTTTATAAATTTTATTGCAATTATAAGTTTTATAAATTTTATTTTTCCCCTAATTCATAAAACGGTGACGTTTTATGTGAACTGAGCATTTAAAAAAAATTATCAGATCGGAATGGT